CCGGACCCGCCGCTGTCATGTCAACCTCGCCGGCGGCGCGATGGATTCGTCGTTGGGGAGCCACGTCACGGTCATCCCCGATTGGGTGGGCGACTTGGGCGAGTCCATCGGCCCCGTCGACTACGGCTGCGTGCGCCGGTGCCGTCACCGCCGCCTCGCCACCTACCTCTGGCTGCACGGCTTCCGCGACGCCCTGCGAGGGTACGTGCTTGAGCATCCCCCTAATCCCCACCCCCTCCGTCCTCCTGAACGAACTGCTTCGCTCGCTCACCGGCGGCCGCCATTGCCCAATCCATCAATCAATCACTCGCAGGCTGCTCAACGAGACGGACGCGTACATGAGCGTCATCCACCTGTCGCAGCTGGTACAGCAGGGGCTGTGGGACGACGCCATCGCCTACGTCTCCCGCTTCCTCCGCCCGGTCTCGCACCCGCAGAGCGACGAGGCACAGGTGCTCCTCCACTTCCTCAAGCACCACGCCGCCTTCGCCAGCATGGTCGCCGGCGTGCCCGACCGCAACCTCACCTACTTCAACCGCAAGTACAACACACGGTACCTCAAGCACGACGACTCCGTCTCCCACGACGCCCTCCGGATCCGCTCCATCGTCCTCTCCATTCTCCACTCGGAACAAGTCAGGTAGCAGCACTAGCTAGATGATCACATCTTCAGTTCGGTTCCTGCCTGCCTCTCCATTATTCCTGCAATTATTTTCCTCTTTATTATGTCTCTCGACTTAAATCTGTACCACTGTTTCATCAGGTCCTCCCTGGACTGGGAGCGCGTTCGTTGGAAGGCCTCTCAAATCGTCAAACACTTGGCTTACAAGGCTCCTGAGTTGAAAGCCCTGGTCATATTGCCGGCCGGCTCAATGATGCCACACGATGTACTTCCCATCGGATTCAGGTGATTCCGGCTCCATCAGTTTGCTTGTCCATGTTCACTTGATCCATTCCATTCTAGGCAATGTGTAAAAACCGGTCTGCCAATTTCATTGCAACTAACTTTGATGCATACAGTTAATAAAAACAAATAAGTCTCACATTGATTTCCCTGTAATCTTGTTTGCCTAGGTACCGTCGGAGGCGCCACGTCAAGGAACAAGACCTGCCACGACCTAAAACACTGGCCAAGATCTTTCTTAGGACCAAGAAGAGGTAAAAAATACAGTATGACCTTGAAACATGGCGAATTCATTCTACTCTTGCTGGCTCTCTCTTGACCAACTCAACTCATGCACATGTTCCATGTTTTGCAGGCTGCCTTCGTCAACTCGCAGTCACGACATAAACAGGGGTACAGTGCCCTATTTACAAGCATCTTATGATTAGGCAATATACTTCCTTGTAGATTCTAGATCTGTGATGCTAAAAAGCCATCGTTACTGTTGTTGGTGGCAGGATTGACAGACAAGACAAGGAAGTGGCACGCAGATCTTATCGGTAACACTAGCCCCTGCTCTTGTGTCCTTGTCTTGTTTACTTTGCGCTTTACACATCTATAGCTTGCTCAACTTATTGTCAATCCAGATATATTTGGCAGCAAGCTGTGAGGCCCTTTGATTTTACTCTTTCGAAAAACCTCTCGGATCATGCATGTATGTGCATATAAACTGATCAACTTGTGTCATCTTCAGATGAAAGCTTGCAAGCTGGTCTAGAACTTCAATCAAGTGGGAAGGAAGGTAACCTTCGCTTAGTACAATCATTTTTTTCGTTATCTCCACTGCTTATATGTGCTCCTTACTAGTTCTCTAATAGGCTGAATCCTTTTGGCACACATCTGCACAATAACGTTTCCTTCCCTTCCAATTTTAGAATCAGTTAAAAAAATAGAATCACACTTCACATCATATGTTGGAGACCATAGCCCTATTGGTTAATTATATGGAAAATTAGAATGAATTAATTCTTGCTGCACTTTTTTTTACTACTGTGCCTCATTTCCATATTTGTGTCAGTGCGCCATTTTTATATTTGTTGCTTCCAAAGTGATTCCCGATGTTTATGCTTTGGATATTCCTATGCTGTAGCCTATGTGGCTATGTGGCCATTATCTACGACCCATTGCAACACATATCTTTTGAACGATGCACGGTAGAAATATGTTTCCTTTTGTGTTTGCATTCTTTCGTTCTATGGTCACTTGTTTTCCATTTTGTGTCTGCTTTTGTGCATGGTAAATTCTTTTTTTTGTGCATGGTAAATAAAGAACCACTATCCCGGTCTGGCTTGATGATGTTATTTTTTGCAGTTTATTACTTTATTATAGTGCTTAGCTGCTTACTACCAGTTCTGATTGTTGAATGCGTTGCAGGTGTTCCTGACGCTCCAGTGTTGAACACCATGTCTGGTACCGCAACACATCTTACTAAAAATTCTGAGGCCTCGTCATTGACAAATGCAGGTAATTTTGTTGACCACCCTCAATCATTCTCAAACCTCCATTTGCGTCACAACTTATCCCTGAATTGTTTGTTTCTAGCGATCACCAAATGCATGTCATTGCTGCGTGGTGGTTTAGATGACCCAAAATAATCATGGATATGCCACTTAGGATTCCTTTAATATATTTTAATACTATTTATGGCTTCCTCCAAAAAGTATATCAACCATAAATAATAACCACCCTGCAAAAAAAATCTTAATTAATAACCAAGGTTCCTTTGAAAAGATATTGGCCAAAGTTTTAGTTGAATCATAGAAGAAGTTGGTTCAATTAGCCTGTAATACCTCTGTAGTGCTAAGTTCTGTTCCACTTCCAGCCCTTACAGTTTGTTTCATATGTGCATTGCTTGGCCTTATTTATTATTAGGGGCTATCTCTAAAAGATCTATGTACTGTGGGAACATTTTCCCCTGGAGTTTTCCAGTCTGTCATTCTTTTGTTGTTTGCTTGATGTTGTTCTTTGCACTTGGTCAGCGCTTGGCTATCTGCTGCCAATTCTAACTGCCAGATTTGTTGCAGGTGCTCCTGTTGCTCCAGCTTCGCAGACTATGTTCGGCATCTTGACAACATGTGCGGAAGTATCTGGTATCTCATCAGTGACAAATCCAGGTAAATAAGTTGACCGCCCATTTCTCACACATAAACAAACTTCCACAGTTAATTCCTGAAGTATTAATTGTAAAGAACGTCAACAATCAAGCTTTGACAGTCTGCACTTCGCCAGTACTTGGTTACCTGCTAGCGTTTCTAACTGCTGAACTTGTTGCAGGTGCTCTTGCTGCTTCAGTCTCGCAGACAGTGAAGTTGACAGACAGTGCTCAGACGCATCAGTGACAAATGCAGGTAAATTAGTTGAACACCACCAGTTGTTTTTATACCAGGACAAAACTCCATTTTGCTTCAGTTGATCCCTGATATTGTTGTCAGAAAACAACAAATATATAGTCAAGTGCCTGCTTGCATTGTAAATATAACATGTGATATCCGTATTTTAATTTCATTTGTTCAGTTACAGAGGTGGCCTTGCTACCTTTACCTGCCTTTTTGCCACTTTGTTTCCTGTGGAAATATAGCTTATGGATATTGTGGAAGATATCTGTTTCTGAGTCTGCATTTGTTAGCTACTTGCCTACTTCTTTGTTCCTTTTTTTTTTTGCATATGTTATATCCATGATAGTTTGAGGACCACGTTTGCATTGCGGAGGCTAACCATTCATGTTTACAATTTGTGTAAGCATTGGCTTTTACAGTGACGTGTTCCTGAAAACCCTTGTTTCTCATGACAAACTAATGAAAGTCGGGCTCCTTCCTTTTAATTTTGCACACGCCTCTGTTGTCACCTTTTTTGTTGAAATGATCATTGTTAAGAAAGCATCGGTCATACATAATATTTGAGTCAAGTTCCTTAAAGATATCATCTGTTGGGCACACACAAGTAAGCATTTGAGTCCAGAAGCTTCCGGTCTCAGAAAGAATCAGTGGAAGGAACAGACAACTTTTGAGCAGAATCCTAAACCAAAGAATGCAAGGAACAAGTGGGGCTTTTGGGAGCAACGCCTTAAGATACCGAGTGAAGAAACTGAGCGTGGTTAAATTAAATGTGCAATAATATACTAATAATAATAAATAAATGTAGGGGGTGAAATTCAAGTTGATTTTGCGCAAACCTTTGGTAGGTTGAAATAGGGGTTATTCCCATTTATACCAGAATAAAATCAAACACGAGCACAAGTTATGGCGACTTCTCAAGATGCTCGTGGATGAAATGGCCAAACTTGTTCAAATTTTTTCCGGATGAATTAACTAAGTAAGTTGGACACTATACATATGTTGTGTTGGGTGCAGTTGGTAAAGAGGAAGGAAGGAGGATCTGTGTTCTTATGTGGAGTTTTATGTATGTTGATGTGCAGGCATCTGAAGCTGGAGGCATGCATATGGATGGAGTCTAGGCTAGTCAGGCTGGGGTGGTGTATCCTTGTGGACTTGTTGGTTGAAGATGGAGAGAGACGCTGGAAGGAGTTGCTCTAATTTGTTGCTTATAGGTCTTGACAGTGATGAGTTATATGTCCGAAAATCAGCGGCAAATGAATGCATGCATGTGATATATCATGAAGTATATAAAATGTATTTCTGGATAAATAGATATGTTATTTGTTTCTTTGGGATTAACTGAAGAATTATTCCTCCCTGATGGCAACAAGATTCAATCTTTTTTTGAGAAGTAATTCATTCAATAATTGGATGATTACATATGACGATGAAGAAATCAGTTTTGTATCTTATTTTGTGGTGCGCCTCTTCCTATAAGCCCAGGCCCACTATCACTATCGAGCAAGGTCCATGAAAAGTGCCTGCAGCTACCAAGCTCCATGGCTCTTGGTATTTGAACTTTTTTGGAAAACACGCTTCCGTTGCTCAAACATATATTAAAACAAATACTTGAATACATACACATATCCCTATGGTCCGGTAAAAATCTGGAAAAAGAAATACTTTGTATTTTGGGAAATACAAAAAAGGGAAGTTTCTGACAGAAATGGCACTGTTTTTCTCCTATATACTGGCAGAAATTTGTTTTTTTCTCTCTATATCCCAAAACAACACCAGATTTCTACCGAAACTTGCCACAGGTATTCGGAATGTGTACATGCATCCCCGGGAAAATTTCACATTGTTTTGAAACTTGAAAAGCACGAATTTCAAAATGTTCAAATATAGAGGGCACTGGAGCTCGGGTGCTAGCAGCATATGTATTTTTTTTCTTTATTGCAATATTTATTGTTATTGTTATTGTTGTTGTTGTAAATAATGCACTTTTATTTAAGCTGTAGTCTCACACACACACTAGAGAAAACACCTTCTCTTCTTTAAATTAAATTAATATATAACAGAAAAGAATGCGTTGGGCTTGGATGGATATTGGGCTCCAACATGGGCATGGGCTGGCGGGCGGCGGCCCAGGAGGGAGAGGGAAGCTCCGCCAGCCAGCCACTGCGGTGTTGGTGTATAAACCCCAATTCCCACTCCTGCCTGCGTCTTGTCTTTCTTCCTCCTCCCTCCTCCGCTCCGCTTCTCCGCCGGAGCACAGCAGGTTGGCTTCTCCACACAGGCT